CTCGAGGATCGGGGATCGGGGAGGAGGGAGGCTCGAGGACCGAGACGAGGCTGTGCTCGGCGCTTCCGCCCGCGCCCGCCGCCTGGACCGGGCCTGGTGCCCGCCCCTCGCGCGGCGGGCCCCAGGTCACCCGAGCTCGCGCCTCGCGCCCCGCGGTGCGCGACGCGCGGGCCACGCAGAGAGGCCCCCCAAGGCAACAAGCTGGCCCGAGGAGCGGCCCGAGGGCCGGGAGCCCCTGCTGAGCAGCCAGGGGTGGTCCTGGCTCCACAGCGCCCTGACTGCACCAGTCCCTCCCTGCTCCTCGCCCTCGCCCTCGCGCCCCTCCCCATCCACTCCCTCCACCCCGCAGTCACTGTCACTCGGCTCTCCGGCCGCTCCTCTCGCTCGAGGCGCTTCCGCTGCTCGCGGACCTCGTGCTCCACCGCATACTCATCCTCGGGCCTGAGGCGCTCCATCCTGTCCTCGACCACCTCCGCGCTCGGCTCCTCCTGCCAGGCCGCGAGGCCTCCAGGGCCGGCACGAATGCGGAGGCGGGCATCACGGCTTCGGTGCGCTCCTCCTCCTCCGCCTCCTTCCTCCTCCTCCTCCTCCTTCTGCTCCTCCTCCTCCTCCTCCTCCTCCCTCCTCCCTCCTCTCTCCTCCTCCTCCTCCCTTCCTCCTTCCTCCTCCTCCTCCTCCTCATCCTCCTCCTCTTCCTCCCCTTCCTCCCTCCCTCCCTCCCTCCCTCCCTCCCTCCCTCGGCGGGCGTGCCCCCCTCCCGCCGACGAGGACCCGAACCGACCGACGCCCCCTGGCAGCGGGGGGCAGCCAGCGCCCGCCGAGGGAGCGCCGCGCGCCGGCGAGGCCAGGTCGCCACTCCCCGCGCCCGGCGCACGCGCGGCCGGACGCACGCGTGGAGCACCCCGAGGCCACGCGCTGACCAGACCCCCTCGCGCTGAGAACAAAAAATCGCGACGGGTGGCTCTTCGCTATATTTTCGGCCTCCGGGGGCCCTCGCCGGGCCTCCAGGCCGTCGGACAACGGCCCAGGACGAAGAAGGCGGTCCCGGGCAAGGGGTCCAGACCTCTGGGGGGTCGACGCTGCGAAAAAGTCACGACGTCGGGGCTCTGGGTGGAGACACACGCGGAGGGCCGGCGTCCACGGCCACCCGCGCTGGGCGCTGGAGATCGGGCTCTAAGTATATTCCTGATCTACGTCATTGGGTTTGGCCTCTTCTCGTCCTGATCAGGGGGGCTGCATCGTAAGACTCGCTTCGCGACCGCTCTATCCTCCTCCTCCTCCTCCTCCTCCTCCTCCTCCTCCTCCTCCTCCTCTTCCTCCTCCTCCTCCTCCTCCTCCTCCTCCTCCTCCTCCTCCGCCTCCTCCGCCTCCTCCGCCTCCTCCGCCTCCTCCACCTCCTCCGCCTCCTCCGCCTCCGCCTCCTCCGCCTCCTCCGCCTCCTCCTCCTCCGCCTCCTCCTCACACGCGGAGGGCTGGCGGCCATGGCCATCCGCGCTGAGAGGACACGCGGCCAGCTTCACGCGTGGGGTACCCAGAGGCCACGCGCTGGAGACACACGCGGAGGGCGGGCGTCCACGGCCATGTGAACCTTGCTTCCTGCGGGAGAGCAGGCAACACAGAGCATGGGTTCCGACGGCATTTGGGGCCCAACGCGCCCAGCATCCGAGGCTGCAGCAGGGGCAGCAGAGTCCCTCAGGCTCGTAGTGCACGCCACAGGGTGGGAGTCGCCCTGGCAGCAAGAGCGGCCACGTCATCACACCGCCACGACGGAACCCCCTCTCGGGGAGACGTAAGAGACTCTGGGGTGGACAGAGCCCCCTCTCGGAGGGACGGGGTTCGGGGGGCTCGGGTTGGCCTGACGGGGCCATCATGAGAATGACGAGACCCAGCCTCAAGTTTGACGCGAGCTCCTGCTGCAGACATCCCACGAAGACTGCACCGCCAAAATCCAGGACGCGCTCGTCGTCACAGAGCGTCGGCAAACCCGAGTTCCGGCTCACTCGAATCTTACGAGGGGCCGAGCGGTGGAAAGACATGTGGCCGCACTGCTGACCCCATCGGGAAGTCCTGAACCACAAGTGACGTGCTCCTGGGAAGGCAGCGTGGCTTCCGCGGCCTTCCGCTGGCGGGAGCCACCCTCGCTCCACTCCCGACGGCTCCCGCCGGCCCGCCGCCGGCCTCCCGCCGAGGAAGACTCGGTGGCCACCCATGGGAGCCTCCCGCACCCTCTTGCCGGCTCCCGCGGATCGACGCTGCTCGACGCGAGCCGACGCTCATCGACGCGGCATCGACGCCAATCTCCACGCCAGCCGACGCGAAACCGGCGCTATCCCATGGATTCCCCGACGCCGGCCGACGCTAGCCGACGGAACCGAGAGGGCACACGAGGCTCCCAGGCCTCGCTGCCGAAGGAAGCTACATCACCTCCCTCGGCCTCTCGAGGACGCGGCCCTCTCCGGAGCGGGCCACACGTGCATCCAGATGATCTCGCCAAGGCCGGCCGCGTCACGTGCATCCAGTTGAGCAGGGGCCGACCGTCCCGGCATTCCGATAGGCCTACCACGAGATGGTCTCAGAACCCCGAAACGTTCTAAGAACAATGCAGCGTCCTCAGAGCACAAAGCCGAGGTGCTCAAACTCAAACAGGATGGGTCCCAGCCAAAAGTGTTCTGAGAGCATCCCGCGCAGACCACGAGGGGTTCTCAGAACACTGGTTGCTGGGCCTCTGGGCACGCCAGGTTGCCTCGCCACTGCTTGATCCAGAGCTCCCTGGCACACGAGCGCATCCCCGCGACGAGGGCCCGGCGCCCCGCGGCGCCCCCCCCCCCCCCCCCCCCCCCACGAGAGGCCACGGGGGGGGGGGCACGGGCCCGCCTCCCGGCCGGCTGCCCCCCGCGCCGCCGCCGAACAGCTCGTCGTCGCCGCCGTGCTTGCCCTTCTTCTCCTTCTTGTGCTTCTTCTCCTGCCCGCGCCGCACCCGCGCGGCAGAGCCACAGCGTGGCGAGCAGCGCTTGCCCGATCCCCATTCCCCCAGCGGCGTGGCCTGGGGCCCCGCCTGGCCGATGCACCCCCCCGGAGGGGGCTGATCGGCCCTTCCCGTCGGGCGTCGAGGGGCGTCTCCCCAACTGGGGGGGGTAATGTGGTGGGGGTCTCGCATGGGGATGGGGATGGGACGAGACCGAGCGGAAGAGCCATGGCGCGGGGCGCCGACGGACCACGCACAGAAGAAGAAGAAGAAGAAGAAGCAGCGGCACAGCCCTACACGTTTGGCGCTCCGCGCATCATAGGGGGATGCAAAGTCCCTGAAGACGGGACGGGGTGGGCACGAGCGGGCATCATAGCCGGCTCAAAATCAAAAGAGGCATCATAGCCTCATCAATCTAGATTGATCCACTCACGGATCCACTGCAATTATTTCCATTGACTTCATTCCATGCGTAGCATGCTCTCCCCCCTCCCTGGCGCGCGGAGCGCGCCGGGGGCGGCGCCGGAGGCGCCGCCAGGGCGGGGGGGGGTAGTACGCAGCGCGGATCCAAGGAATCCGCCGCGGAGAGCCGCCAAAGGTTTTGTGGGCATTGCCGGGATGGTTAGACTCTGCGAGAGGAAGAAGAAAAAGAAGGGTCCGACCCCTGCCTCGCTCTGCCTCGCGGGCCTGGCGCGGGAGGGGGAGCGGCGGACCCCTTGTGCAACATCCCAGCGAGTGCAGCCCGCACGCGCCCCCAGAGGCGGGCCGAGCCCTCTGGGGGGCGACGATGACTTCCACAACTGCGCGCTGGAGACAAGCCAAGCAGAGGAGCCACGACGGGCTCACGCGCAGCTGCACTGAGGCAAGGGCGACCACGGCACATGCACAGCAGCGGGCACCCAACCGAGACAAGCTGGCGGGCGCGACAGAGAAACACACAGTCAACCCGTGTAGTGAGGACGGGGGATCAGGATGCAAGGGCCTCGGACGCCCATTTCAAAGCGTTTCGAGCGGGGCGCGGCCAACGAAACTGGCCAAGGATGGACCGAGGAGGCAAGGGTGCAAGGGCACCCTTGGGTTATGTAGCTCCCATCATACTTAAGGACCACATCCCAGAAATACTTTCGAGCACCCAGAAAAGTATGGAAGTGTGTCGAAACAGTGTCGAAACAGTGTCGGAAGAGTGTCTCCCAGAGCTCGACACGTGAAAACCCTCGAGATTCGGTATACTTTTCTGGTGCTCGAAAATCTTCCTGGTGGTCAAGGCTCAAGTAGGTTGGAACATCCTAACCCTTTCCCATCCTTCTAATCTGCGGGTTGGCTGTGCAGCGTGGGGGGGGGGGACCACGGCAAGGAGGACGGCCAGCTGCCACCTTCACCGGCGTCGGCAGAGGCCTCCCAGATGGGGCCCGAGTTGCTTATTAAAGGGGCCCAGGGACACACACATTAATAGACACAGATCCCAGGATTCCCCATATTTGCCCATATTTCCTGGGTTTTTGTCTCTCCCCCCCCCACTTCCCAGTGTCCCATGTTCTCCTGGGAATCGACGATTCATTGTGTCTGCGTGTTTGTTCCCCTCCTGATAGATGGGGTTGGTGGATTGCGCCGCATCGGCGATGCATCGGCGACGTCGGTGGTGCATCGGAGACGGCGGCGCGGAGAAAGCCTGGCTCTGCATCGAGCCGCATCGCCGAGGCATCGGAGATGCGCCGCGAGCCTCCGACACCCTCTACTCTGACTCTGACCCCACCTGGGAGGCATACACGTCGTTCATTTCTAATCGTGCTCATTTCAAATTGTGCTCGTTTCTAATTGCTCCTGGCCCCCTGGTGGCCAGGAAGAGGCCCAGGATGGAACAATTGGACATGAAAGGGTCTTGGCCCCCCAAAAAAATATCAAAGAACCGTCGAACGCTTAGAAATGAACCATGTGAAGACTCGGGGGCCTCGGCGAGCGCTGCTATGGACCCACCGGATCGCACGAGGCTCGGGCGATCGCCCTCGCAGGGCGACCCGCGGTCCCCGACGCCCCCGGGCAGCTCTCCCCCCTCGGGCACGGCAGCTCTGCGCACGACCAGGCAGCACCGGCGGGCGCTCCAAGAGGGACGCTCACAGGCGCCGGGCCAGGCGGAGCTCGACTCCGCGCCCTCGCCCGTGGCCACAGCCGAATTAGCACCGCTCGCTCGTGCTCCCCTGGCCGCCGCTTCCCGACGCACGCCCGGGTAGGGGGGGGAGGGGGGGAGGGGGGTTCATCGGGTCCACGCTTTCTTTCCCCCCCCCCCCCGGGAATCCCAAACCGCCCCAAGACGGGCCAAAAAGGGGCCCAGGAGGCCACCAAGACGGTCCAGGAGGCGCCCGAAATAGCCCAAGAGCGCTCCTGGACGCCCAAGATGGCCTGAAGACGGCCCAAGAGGCCTTCAAGACGCCTCAAGGAGATCCCAAGAGGACCCACAAGAGGGCCCCAAGAGGGTACAATAAGAAAATTGCTAACAGGTTCTGAAGCAGTTTAACATTATCGCCTTTTCCGTCTTAGAAGCGCCGAAGACGGTCCAAGAGGCCCCCAAGATCGCCCCAAGACAGCCCAAGAGGCCCCCAAGAGGAGCCAAGACGGTCCAAGAGGGCTCCAATATAGCCCTGGAGGCCCCCCAAGACGACCCCGAGAGACCCCCAAGATGGCCTCAAGAGGGTGAACCCGCACGGACCCTTCTGGTCCTCCACCCCAAGATGACCCCAAGAGCCCCCAAGATGCCCCCGAGGCGCCCCCAAGGGGCCCCCAGAGGCCCCCAAGAGGTCCCCAAGAGGCCCCCAAGAGGACCCCGAGAGGCCCCCAAGAGGCCCCAAAGGCCCAAGAAGCCCCAAGAACCAAGAGGCCCCAAGAGGCGCTCACTCGCGTGCTGCCAGGCCAGAGGTGCACGGCCTGACTTGGCATTGCTCGGAAGCGAAAGCGATGAACGAAGAACCTTCCACCCGTCGCCGTCACCAGTCGTCGGTCGTCGGCCGTCCACAGCCGTTCGCCGTCAGTCGTCGTCGTCGTCGTCGTCGTCGTCGTCGTCGTCGTCGTCGTCGTCGTCGTCGTCGTCGTCGTCGTCGATTCGTCATTAACTCCTTCGTCGGTCGTCGTCGTAATTATCCCGCTCGTCGACCGTTGGTCGTCCGTTGTCGTCGTCATCGCCCATTTCAACAACAACAGCATCAGGAGCTCCCCGGATCGGCGGCACTAGCCGGAGGCCACTACAATACCACCGGAGGCCCGTGACCTTCGGCGGCGGTCCTCCCAGTACGAAGGCTAGAGCCACTTCGCGCGCGCGTGATTTCCACGCCGCAGAGCCCGATCGGACCCTCTGCGAATACACGTCGCGCGCGCGGGCCTCCGCTGCATGCGGGGGCAGCGCGGATCACACCAGACAAGTGCACGGGGACCTCGGCACTGCAAGGGCGCCTCGACCTCCACCGGCACACACCCGTGACAAGCTCGACGCTCCTTCTCCTCCTACTCTTCCACCTCGTCCTCCTCCTTCTCGTCCTCCCTCCTCCCCTGCCTCCTCTTTCTCCTCCTGCTCCGCTTCCTTCTCCCCCCTCCACCTTCCTCCTACCCCTTCTTTTCCCCCCCTCCTTCTCTTCGTCTCCCTCCTCCTCCTCCTCCTCCTCCTCCTCCTCCTCCTCCTCCTCCGCGTTCTCCTCCTCCTCGTCATCTTCTTCCTCCTTTTCCTCCTCCTCCTCCTCCTCCTTGCTCCTCCTCCTCCTCCTCCTCCTCCTCCGCCTCCTCCTGCTCCTCCTCCTGTTCCTCCTCCTGATAAGGCGGATCCAGCCGTGGTCAACAAACGAGAGAGACCGAAACAACTGTCGAAATCCCCCTCGTCCTCCTTCTCCTCCTTCTCCTCCTGCACCTCCTCCTCCTCCTCCTGTGCTGGCCCTGTCATCTTCCCCCCTCTGCTCTCCTTGCCCTACTCCTCCTCCTCCTCCTCCTCTTCCTCCTCCTCCTCCTCTTCCTCCTCCTCCTCCTCCTTTTCCCCTGCTGGCCGGCGTTTCCCCCTTCCTGTCCTTCTTGCCCTCCTTGTGCTCGCCGAAGCCGGCCGAGTCGAAGGGGTCCGCGCCAGAGACGGGGTCCTGCCCGAAGCCGAAGCCACCGCCCGCCTCCTGGCGCCAGGCAGCAGGGCTCCAGCTCCGCCCGTAGAGGAGGGGGAGCCACATGGCATGAAGGGGAGGAGGGGGAGCAGGAGGAGGAGGAGGAGGGGGAGGGGGAGGGGGAGGAGGAGTAGGAGGAGGAGGAGGGGGAGTGGGGAGCAAGGGAGCAGGAGAGGGGGAGGAGGAGGAGGAGGAGGAGGAGGAGGAGGAGGAGGAGGAGGAGGAAGGAGGAGGAGGAGGAGGAGGGAGGAGGGAGGGAGGAGGACGAGGGGGAGGGGGAGGAGGAGGGGGAGGAGGAGGAGGAAGAGGAGGAGGGAGAGGGGAGGAGCAGGAGGAGGACGAGGACGAGGAGGAGGAGGAGGAGGAGGAGGACCAGTGTGAACCCAAGAGTCATCAACGATGTTGGAAGAAACCCTCCCTCCAAGCTCTCTCTCTTCACAGGCCCCTACAAGGGTCGTTTCCACTGAGGGAACTGCCTCCTTGGAAGACAACCGTTTGAAGACCCCTGCGCATGCCAAAACATCGTTCTCGGGATTCCAACGCCACGGATCAACCTGACTGTTGCGTCTTGACGATCCTGAATCGCGCCAGAACGGCATTCCTGGAACTTCACCACAGCGAATCAACGTGACTGTTGCACCCTCATAATCCAGAATCCTTCCAAAACATCCTTCCTGTTACGCTGATCATTGGAACACGCGAAGCTCTTGCAAATGTTTAAAAAAAAGAATGTGCGCGGCGCTGAAGCGAGAACCACATTTTGAACAGGAGCCGACCTCAATCCGTGAAACCCTTAAGAACGTTTTAATAAGAAAGTGCGCGGCTCTAGGGCGAGAACCACATCTTGAACAGGAGCCAGCCTCAATCCGT